TTAACAAGTCAGAAGTTCACTTTAGTTGCTTGTGAAGAAAGATACAATGATCAGGTGATCTGTCACCATGTATAATTTGAGTAGAATTGTCAGAGGAACAGCTGCGCCATTGTGCGATGGCATCCCGCCCTCACATGGCCTTCTAAGGTAAAAGAAAAACTTAGAATGAGCCTGGATTTATCCAGATAGTTTAATGAACCCACATATCTCTAGCACATATGTATGGAGAATGAGTTTGCTCTGCATGGATTGTTAGAGTTTTCTCTTCTTCTAGATATATGCTCTTATATGAAGCTACTTCCCATTCACTGATCTCATCATATTAGAAAATTTCACTGTTTGATCACAAAAGACATAGAATAGATAACTTCAGTTACATGAAATTGAAAAACTTTCACATGAACAAAACCAATACATTAAATATCTCTGATGAGGGTTTGATATCCAATACTCATAGGAAATTAACATAAATCCATAAGACCAAGAGCCATTCCCAGGGGATAAGTAGTCAGAAGATAAAGAATTACAAACTATAAATAGCCATATAAGACTATTCCAAATCACTAATAATAGAAAAGTAATCAGAACAGCACTAAGTTTCACCATAAACCCAGCAAATTGGTAAAGACAGAAGATGGAAAGAGTATTAGAGGGGCTGTGGAAAGGCAGGCACACTAATGCATTATTGGGGTAGAGCTTTGAATTGGTCCAACCATTCTAAAAGCAATTTGAGATTTTGCTTTAAAGGTGACTAAAATGTCCATGCCCTTTGACTCAAAGATCCTACTGTTAGGTATATATCCTAAGGAAGTAAAAAACAGAAAGAGAGGTCTCATGTACACCAAAATATTCATAGCAGGATTTTTGTGGTAGCAAAGAATTTTCAACAAAGTTTCCATGGATTGGGAAGTGGCTAATGTGATACATGAATGTAATAGAATATTACTGTTTGGGGAAAACTATGGAGACTTATATAAACTGATGCAGACTGAAGTAAACAGAACCAGGAAAACAATATATATACACAATGCCTACGATAACGTAAACAGAACAGAAAAACAAAACTGAACGTTGTATGATCAGAATTGGCCTTGAAGATGAATTGAGAATGTGTACTTTTTTCCCCTCGTTGCAGAAGTGGGACCCAACAAGTATGAAATATTCAACTCACCAAGTATTTATTAAGCCCTCACTATGTGCCAGGCACTTGCCCTGGGGGTACAAAGAAGAGCAGAAGCAGTCCTTGCCCTCTAGGAGCTCATATTGCAGTGAGGGAGATAGCTTGCAATCACCTACTCACAGACTTGATGTTCTGGAGGAAGTGGATGAACTTAAGTACTGTGGGTTTGGAAAAAAACATGTTTCCCTTAGATAAGGTAACCTCTAAGACCAAAGAAACAGAGCTCTAGGGTTTGTACTTGACTTGCTTCCCTATTGGCAACAATGGATGAATAGACTATTTTAAAAGAGGCCTCCATCATCCTAGAGATTCGTGCCTGCGTGGGGAAATCTGATAAGACTAACCTCAAGAGAAATGTATTTCTTATAGGAACAAACTTGATCTTTAACAGCTTTTGTGACCTCAAGAGTTGCACGTTTCCCCATTTCTGCTACAGAATGCCACTAAGTGGCACTGTACTCTGAGCAAGTCTTAAAAAGCTATAAAAATCCAATCTGTGCTATAAAGAGTTGAAGCTGCAGCCAGCCCAAGCAGTCTTCCTTAGTGCACTAATAAATTTCTTTTCTGTTTAGTCTGACTATTTACTTTTGACCCCCTGCTTTATAGATACGATAATAGATAAGATTCTCTCAGAGCTTTCAAGGAACAAGGCTAGGAAACTCTCAAAACAACGTATATAAGCTAAATTGGAGATGGTCTCAGGAGGATGGAAACTAACATTAAGGAGGACTGAGAAAGGCTTCTTGCAGAAGGTGTGATTTTTAGCTCAGACTTGAAGGAAGTCAGGAAGTTGAGGGAAGGAAGAAGGGAATTTTAGGCATCGAATGTTGTATATGGTCAGACCGATTTGCTGAAGTGCCTTTTTTCTCCTTTTTTGATTTTATTGGAAGGGATAGCTCTCTAGGTTGTTTGGTGGTGATTGTTCAGTCGTTTTTCAGTCATATCTAATTCTTTGTGATCCATTTTGGGGTTTTCTTGGGGCAGAGATACTGGAGTGAGTTGCCATTTCCTTCTCCGGCTCATTTTACAGATGAGAAACTGAGGTGAACAGGGTTAACTGACTTGTGCAGGGTCACACAGCTAGTAAGTTTCTGAGGACAGATTTGAACTCAGGAAGATTCCTGAATGCAAGCCCAGCTCTCTATCCACTTTGCCACCTACCTGTCCTTGGTGTTTCGGGGCGGGGGGAGGGTAGGGCAGAGCGAAAATTTGGAAATTAATATGATATGAAAAACAAAAGGTATTAGTTTAAAAAGTCTGTCCTCTCTTTCCTCTCCCCAGATGCCATTCCAACATCAGCCCTGAATCAACCCTGTCCTGTACTGTTTATTGCATTTGCTTAGCCCAGCTTTCAGTCCATGATCTATTGTCCTTGTAATCTTCCTACTGTACCTGTGTAGGCAAAAAGCATTTATCAAGTACCTCCTAAGTTTAAGGCACTGTAAGAGGTGCTGGGGATACAAAGAAAAAATGAAGCAGTCCCTCCTTGCAGGAAACTTTCATACTATTGAACAAGATGACATGTGCATAAGTATAGACATGTTTGTTTGAAGGCAATAGAGAAGGAAGGAACTAGTGAGAAGATAGGGAGAAATTAAAAGATAGGGAGTGGTGACTGAGGGATCAGTCTACTAGAGGACAGGAGGGGAGAGGATATGGGATCAAGGACATATATAGGAAGGTTAATGTAAACAAAAAAGACAATCTTGTCAAAGATTGGAGGAAATATTTTTACAAAAATATTTATAGCAGCTCTTTTCGTAGTGGCAAAAAAATTGGAAATTGAGAGGATGCCCATCAGTTGGGGAGTGTCTGAACAAGTTGTGGTATTTGATTGTAATATAATATTCCTATGCTATAAGAAATAATTAACAGGCTGATTTCAGAAAAACTTGGAAAGATTTATATGAACTGATGCAAAGTGAAGTGAGCAGAGCCAGGAGAATATTGTACACAGTAACAGCAGTGCTGTATGATGATCAACTGTGAATAACTTGGCTATTCTCAGCAATATGGTGATCTAAGACAGTTGCAAAGGGGTCATGATGAAAAATGCTGTCCATCTCCAGAGAAAGAACTGATGGAGTCTGAATGCATATTGAAGCATACTATTTTTCACTTTCTGTATTTTTTCCATGGGTTTTTCCCCTTTTAGGTTTGTGTCATCTTTCACAACATGAATAATATGACAATATGTTTTGCATGATTGAACATGTATAATCTGTATCAAATTACCATTTCAGGAAAGGGGAAGGTGAGAGAGGGAGAAAGAAAATTTGGAACTCAAAATTTTTTCAAAATGAATGTTAAAAATTGTCATTGTAGGGGCAGCTAGGTGGCGCAGTGGATAGAGCACCGGCCGTGGATTCAGGAGGACCTGAGTTCAAATCCGGCCTCAGACACATAACACTTACTAGCTATGTGACCCTGGGCAAGTCACAACCCCATTGCCTAGCCAAAAAAAAAAAATTGTCATTACATATAACTGGGGCGAGGGGGAAAGACTGGAGGAAAGGAAAAGAGAGCCAAGGATAATATCAAGGAGTTTTGAAAAGTAAGTGGGGAGAGGAAGCTAACAACAGATGACCTCAGTTTTCTCAATATTGTAAGAAGTGAGATTCTCACCTCAACTGGGGTCCACGGGAAGCTTGATGAGAAGAAGTTTGAAATAACAGTGAGCATTCAGTTGAATCTTAGTTTGTATTTTATTCATCTTGGGTTTGCATTTTGTTGTTATCTACATTCTTGTGATCTTTCTTGTGGCTATTTCCTGGAAGGTGGTCTGTGCAATTTATTTCATTTTTCAAGAGAAAGGGTAGTGGATAGAAGCCTTGGATTTAGAGAAAGGATAACCTGGATTCAAATTCTGCCTCAGATACTCAAATACCCTGTGACTCTGAGCAGATCACTTAACCTCTCTGAGCCTTAGTTTACTTAATCTGTAAAATGGAAATCAGTCAACAAGTCAATCAGTAAGTATTTCTTAAACGTGTGCTATGTTCAGGCACTGTCTAGGAATGACAGTACAATGATGATAATAAACAACACTTATGGGCTTGTGAGAATTAAATGAGATAATATGTTTAAACACTTGGCAAACATGAAAATGCTAAATAAATTTGAGCTATTATTATCCCTTCTCTCTCTATAGCGAAAACATGACACACATTTTGAACATGAAACTAGCCGAAGTGGACATTCCTTTAGGAACTTACTTTCTTCCATCTTAACCTAATCCCATGTGAGCCTTTTGATAAGTCCTTTTCGTGTCTCAGTCCTTGACCAGTAGTTGTCTTTCAGTCACCATTACACAGCAGGATGTCTTATCAGAATATCATGCAGGATGGACTTGAGTGGAAGGAGGATAATGAGAGCACACTGGGATAAGTAGACTTGTGTGTCTTGTGGATTGACAGAGGAATGGGTGACTTCACCTAGATGTGTTATGTAAAATAATAACATAATATACACCAACAGTTCGCAAAATGTTGTCTGAGGGATCCTGAAGTAAAAACTGTTTTAATAATAATACTAAGATGTTTTAATTTTTAATATGTTAAGTATCAACATACACAACATAAACAAAAGCTCTTCCTCCGTAATTAGAGTGTAAGGGTCTTGAGACCAAAAAGTTTGGTAACTGCTGTTAAACACAGTATTGGGGGTTTATGAAAATTGTCAAGAAACATCTGACATTACCAAAAGGCCACTTAGTTTGGTTCTGGGGAGACTGGAAGGAATAGGTGAAGTTTGTAAGAGAATTGCCTGTTGTTTCTGTCTCTATCCCTATCCTTATTCTTGGACTTTAATTTGTTTCCAGGACATGGTGCGACGAGGAGAGATCATTGATGATGACATAGAAGATGAATTCTATCTCCGTCGCTTAGATGCTGGGCTCTTTGTCCTGCAACACATCTGTTACATCATGGCAGAGATCTGTAATGCCAGTGTCCCCCAGGTAAAAGACCTTTCTGTGCTTCTTCCTTTTTGACATGTGTAGATCATCTGAAAAGAACAATATTGAGACTGATCCCATCCTTGCTTTGTCCTTGTACTGCCCTTACTTTCCCACAGGCACCATCCATAGCACATTGGCTGGAGGAGAAAGAGCTTTGCTAAGATAGTCTGCTAAGAAAAATTAATCCTTTTCTTTTTTTTTTCTTCTTTGTCAGATTCGCCAAAGGGTACATCAGATCCTGAACATGCGTGGAAGCTCCATCAAGATTGTCCGACACATCATTAAAGGTGAGCCCTTTGCAGTCAGCTCTGGAGAACAGGGCTTCCTCTGTTTGAACCCTTGACACTTTTGTCCATTTTGCTACATGTCTAGATCACCTTGTCTGTTTTAGGTCCCTCTTTCTCCTCTAAATTTCTATCTCTGTTCATGAATTCAAGAGGCCAGAATTTACAAAAAAATAATGCCTTCTAATATATCACCAGGGATAAATCTTCGTCACCTCTCACCTGGAATGTCCTGAGAGCCTCCTAATTGGTGTCTCTGACTCCAGTCTTTGCCTGCCTCTAACCTCTTCTTCATACCACTGCCAAAGTAAGAAGTGGAACCATTATGTTGGTCTAAATATGGGCCACACCCATAAAATGCAATCTCCTTTGGAAGGAACAAAATAAGTAGCTATACGCTGGAAAGTAACACCAATTATAGTTCACATAAATCAGATTTGGGGGAGCAGTGTGGTATGTGTTTGAACCCATATGATCATTCGGCATAATGACCTGGCACAGGGCCACTGGTAGCCCACTTGCATCCACCAGATATTCATCCTTCTACACCAGATTAATATGGATTACTGCATTAAAATACTGCTCTTAAATTTGAAGATGTAGCTGTTGTGATTTGCAGTTTTATCTTTTAAATGGCATTTACCTTTAACGCCCACATGTTCAATTAGAATTTTTATTATTTTCAGCTCTCCCTTCATGCAGCCCTTCTTTTCCCTGTACTTCCCCCCTATAGTCAAAATAGTGAGAGTGGATTTGGTGATCTGCAGGGAAGGAAATGAGCATGTTTATGAGGAGTTATCACAAAGTAGGCAGGATGTTTTTCCCTTTCTGAATTCCTTCTTCCCATTATTGCATGGGTAACTTCAACTGATTGCCTGTTCATTTTAGATACTCAGTTTTAAACAGTATGTAGGACCCTCCCTCTTCTCTAGCATCATCTTGGCCTCTACTGCCTCATAAACATGTTGAGGTCATTTTCACTTTTATTACTGTTCTTTTGCCCAATACACTTTTCTCTTCTTGCTGTACAAATCCATGCAGTCTTCAAGGCCCAGCTCAAGTTTTACTTCCTCCATGCAGCCTTCCCTGATTTCTGTCTTTTCTGAACTCCTTGAAGACTAAACTATACCATACACTTGGCAGTTCGGGATTATTCTGTGATACTCTTGGGTTAATATGACTGACTTTCCCTAGCAAGATTGTAAGTTCCTGTAAGGCAATAACTGTTTTATACCTCTGTATCTTATAAACCCTAGCAATGTTCTGAACACATGGCAGATATCTGAGTCCTCAGTTCCTCATCTGGAACTGATTTTTTTTGGTGTACTGGGTGTCTTAGGCTGGTAAGACAAAAGAGTTAATGCCATCTGCACAATGGTACATTAAAGTAACCAAAGAGGAACATATCTGATGTGAAAGCCCCAGCATGTTTATTTCAGATGGTATATATAATAGAGAAAAAAATGTTTCTTCTCACTGATGGTTGACTAGAGGAGCCTAATCATCCATACTCCTAACCATACTCATCTTTTCCTCTTCTCTCCCTTATCCAATCACATACCAACTCTCTGCTTTCTCTGTTGAGGACTTCGCCTCATGTTTCACCAAAACAATTAAGATCATTTGCCAAGAGCTCCATCTTCCATCCACTTCATGTCACATCGCTCAGATGTCTTCTCCCCTATCACTTCCTTCACCTTCCTGTCTAATCCCTTCCTTTTGCAAAACAAACCCCTCTACACTCCTAAGCAATCCCATCCCACCCATCTTCTTTTCTATTAGTGTTCTCTAGATCCTAATAATTAAAATTCTCTTTGGAATCCAAACTAGCTTTCCATCCCATCCTATATTTTCCAGTAAGTTACCACATTCTCCCCCTCCTCCTCCTCTAATCATCCCCACTCTCTCACAAATCTTCACTCTTTCCCTCTCAACAAGCTGTTTTCCTGCTTTCTACAAAAAAAAAACATATGTCTCTCCTTATCCTTAAGAAAACCCTCACTTGATTTGACAGTCCCTGCAAGCTGTCATCTTCTATGTCTCCTCTTTTTCATGGCTAAATTCCTCAAGAAAGCCATTCACAGTTGGTGCCTCCACATCTCCTCTTACTCTCTTCCATACTCTCTCCAGCTGACTTTGGTCCTCATCATTCAACTGAAACTGCTGTATCCAAAATTAGCGACGATATCTTAATTGTCAGATCTAGTGACTTTTTCTCAATTCTCATCCTGACCTCTTAACCTCTCTGCAGTCTTTGACACTGCTCAATCACCCTCTTCGCCTGACTGCTCTTTTCGAGGTTTTCATAACACTCTTCTCTCCTGGTTTTCCTCCTGTCTGTCTGAGTGTTCCTTCTTAGTCTTCTTTGCTGAACCTTCATTTAGGCCATGCTCACTGTGGGTGTTCAGTTTACTTGGTGTCATCATTAGCTCCCTTAGGTTCAGTTATCATCTCTACGCAGATCATTCTCGGATATATTTATCAATTTTAACTTCTCTCCCGACTTCTAGTCTCGTATCACCAATGCTTATTGGACATCTTGAGCTGGATGTTCTGAAGACATCTCAAACTAAGCCTGTCCAAAGCAGAATTCCCTGTCTTTGTTCCCCAAGCCTTGTCTTGTTTCCTGACTTTCCTGGCTTTCTTTTCTTTTCTTTTCTTTTTTTTTTGTTTTTTGCAGTTGGGGTTAAGTGACTTGCCCAGGGTCATACACCTAGTGAGTGTCAAGTACTTGATCTGAGGCCGGATTTGAACTCAGGTCCTCCTGACTTCAGGGCTGGTGGTGTATCCAGTGCGTCACCTAGTTGCCCCCTCCTGGCTTTCTTTAAAACACAGCTCAAATCCCACTTTCTACAAGAGGCCTTTCCAGGATCCTATTACCTCCCACTCACTGTTAGTGCCTTCCCTCTAAGATTATATCTTATTTACACTGTCTGTGCCTTTTTTTTTTCGTGAGGCAGTTAGGGTTAAGTGACTTGCCCAGGGTCAGACACTGTATATGTCTTGTGTATAAATAGTTATTTCATGTTATCTCCTCCATTAGAATGTAAGTTCCATGAAGACCTTTCTTTGTTTCCCCAGAGCTAAGTACAGAGCCTAGCACATAGTAAGTGCTTAAAGAATGCTTGTGGATTGGCTGTTGACAGACATGGAAGGTAGCTTGTGTGAATGTATAGGTGTGGGAGATGGTGCATCAAGTTCAGAGAAAATCTAGTAGTCCAGTTTGGCCAGTAAATAGAGTTCACACATGGGAGTCATAGTCAGGAGCTAGATTATGTAGAGCCTGAAATGTCAAGTTGAGGAGTAGAAGGAAAAAACCCAGAAAGTTTTTGAGCAGGGAAGAACATTCGGAACTATGTCTTGGGAAGGTGATTTTGACAGCTCATTGGAGAAGAGTGGATGAGGGAGGAGAGAGACTAGAAGCAGACTATTGAGGCTGTTACTGTAGTCCAGATGATGAGTCTGAACTAGCCTGTTAGCTCTGTAAAGGGGATGCATATGAAAGATGATATGGAGGTAGAATTGACAAGATAATCCATTGGCTGTGGAAAGGTAGTGGTGGTAAAAAGGCAAGTATGACTAGAATTATAAACCTGAATGCCTGAGAAGATGGTGGTGCCCTTACAAAATATAGGATAATTCGGAGGGGACCAGGTTTAAGGGACCAAGTTGAACATGTTGGGTTTGAGATGGCTACAGGACATCCAGGGAGAGTTATCCAGCAAGTATTTGTTGATTTAGTGCTGGAGTTTAGGGGAGAGATTAGGATTATGTTTATATTATAGATTTGGGAATCATCTGTGTAGAGTTGATATTTGAACCCATGGGAGCAGAAGAAGATAGCCAAGGGTGGAAATGTATAGATAGAAAAGGGTCCAAGACATAGCATTAGAAAATATTCTTGGAAAGAGAACGGGAAAGAGAGGATGATCCCAGAAAGGAGACTGAGAAGAAGCAGTCAGATGGTAGGAGGAAGAACAGGAGAGAAGCCAAGGAAGAAGAAACTGTTCAAAAGAGTGTGATCAGCAGCATCAGAAGCTGCCAAGAGGTAAAACAGGATAAGAACTGAAAAAAGGCCATTGGATTTATCAGTTAAATCATTGGTAATGTCATGGAGATCATTTCAGTAGAATGGTGAGGGTTAGAAGCCCAAATGTAGTGAGTTGAGAAGGGAGTAGGTGGGGAGGAAGTAGGAGCAATGAGTGTGGCACTGTTCTTTCTAGGAATTTGTCAGTGAAACACAGGGGAGAGAGATAGACAGATAGACACGATGGGGTAGACTTGAGCATGCTTGTAGGGAGAGGCTGAAGATGAGAGAAAGGAAACAATCGGTGGCATCAACTACTAGAGGAGACACAATGGAGATGGAGGTGTGGATACAAATAAAAGGCATTGGCCTGGGCAGGTAGTTTGAGAAGCTTCTCTTCCTCAGATGCCAAAGTAAAGGAGGACCTCTCATCTGGACTACTGTAATAGTCTTAACTGTTCTGCCTAGTGTCTTACTATTTTGGTCTATCCTACACAGAGGTCCTTCCTAATGCATGACTGATCACAGCATTCTCCTGCTCTAAATCCTTCGGTGGCTTTCCATCACTTACCAGGTTAAAGCCCACAGTCACTGTAGTGACATTCAAGGCCGTCCACAATTTTACTCCAAGTCGTCTTTCTTTTCAGTTCAGTTCAACAAAGACTCATTAAAAATCTACATGGACACTGTGTGATAAGTGCTGAAGGTGGAAAATGCTAGTAAGTTTAGGGTGGGAGAAAGGTGGGTAGCCTTATCTCATACTACACCCATTCTGTGGATTACAGCTAAACTAGACTATTCACCAAACATACCTTGTATTTTCTTGCCTTCCTGCTTTTGCTCAGACCGTTACTTCTGTCCATCAGACCCTGCTTCACCTCCTCTTCCTGAGCTGAACATCTTCTAGGAAGACTTCCCTCGTTCTTCTCAGCTAGAAGTGATTCCTGCCATCTCATCAGTCTCATACTCCTTTTATAAATTAACAATGCTAGTTTCTATTATAGTTATCTTGTCTTTTTCTTATTTTCTTTCTACTAGATGCTGTGTACATTAGAGAATGCTTAATAAGTGTTTATTGATGCATGAAACTAGGTGCTAGAAATACCACATTGTTGGTGTCCCAACCTCAGTCATGCGTCTTAGAATTTTTTGTTTTTCAATACGCTGACAAACTGCAGATGAAAAGTTAGGCGAAGCACTGAGCACAGTGGAGGCTCATCTTGTCCACCTTGGTGGGTGATGCCAGTTGCCTGCAGTCTGTACCATCCAGTCCAAAGCAAGATATATCTGGACAGCTTGGTGTATTTGCATAGATGCTGCCAGGAAACAAATGTAAATGTGATGGAATTGAGTGGGTGTATGTATTGAGGTGGTAAATAAGACGTGGTTGTGATGTACTGGGGGAGTGAGGGGCCTTAGCAGCATGCTCAGCTCTAGGAGTGTAGCACCCATCTGTTATTCCTTCCCTCCCCAAAAAATCCAACTGAAAACAAAAGCTCATAAAGAGAACCAGCTCATCAGTCTGTCCTTCAGATTTAATTTTGTTTTTCAGTTCGGGTTGCTTTCTTATTTCATTTTGTTTGCATACTAATTAGATGTGAGCTTTTGACTTTGATTTTATGGCCTACATATTTTCTAAGGTTTGCTGGCAGCATGACAGCTGATGTATCCCTTGAGGTCTCAGAAAAGCGCTGATGATGCAAGCACAGCAGGGTCTTTTTTTCCTTTATTTTTTGATTTCCTCCCTCCCTGCATTGGGGTTGCCAAGCAAACTGGGAATAATTGATGGCTCATTAAAGCCCCTTTCTGCAGACGGCTTCTTAGTGTTTCCAAAGTACAGCTTCCCTTGTTGCAGACTGCCTGGTAGGTTCTGAGGGATGAGTGGTACTTAACATGGACTTGAGAATTAGTGCTAGTTTCCTTGCCCATCTTACTCAAGGGCCAAGTACTGACATGATGACATCTTTGTACACATTCAAAAAGTTTATATAACTGTGGATAGAGAAAGCTTTGTGTGTTGTCATGTTTAATTGTCATCTTGCAATGAGGAAAGTATCACCATTCCAAGCCATAAGGGGAAAAAAGGGAAGAGAATCCCCAGAATTATGGAAAATGAAAATTCAGGAGAGCAATTTAAAGTTGTGGAGGGCCGTCATATCAAAGAAGGTTTAGGTTTGTTTTGTTTGGGCCCATATGGTAGAACTTGGAGAAATGGTTGGGAGTTACAGAAGGCTAGATTATGAGGAAAAGTTTCCAATGGTTAGAGCTGTTGAAAAGAAGAGTAGGCTACCTTAAGAGTTGGTTCCTCATCCTTGGGTTCCTCATCACTGGAGATGGGATGACTGCTTCTATTCACTGGGTATCTGTTTATAGAAAGTAGCCTTGTTCAATTATGTGTTGGGATAGATGAACTCTGAGATTCTAGGATTCTGTGAATTACAACTTCAGAGCCTTTTAAGTTTTGAAATGTTCCTAGCAAAAGTTAATAGTAATCCCTTGGATTCGTATATCGCTTGGTGGTTTACATAGCCTTTCCTGACTGCCTACTGCTCACTGCGATCTGCCCCTCCCCTCTACCTCTAGCTGATTACAACACTTTCTTCCTCAGGACTTTCATAGTTCTTTATTTGAACTCCTCGCTCCATTAATAGTTCTTTGAGCATATGTCTCATTCTCCCTGGTAGTCTTAAACTCCTTAAGGGTAGGGTCACCTCATTATATCCCCTGCAGTGCTAAATCAGTGATTCAATGCATAGTAAGGACTCAGTAAGTATTTATTGAATATAATTAGGAGATGTTCTCAAATGTAATGCTCACAGCAAATATATTATCCCCATTTTACAGATGAGGAAGATCAGCCTTGACAGAATAAGTGAATTGGCCAAGGCCACATAGTTATTAGTAGTGCAAACAAAACCAGAACTCAGATTTTATGACGTATGAGGCTCTTTCCACTGTACTTCTCTGACATGTAGGAGTTCCTTAAAGACTTTTAAATCTCAGGTGAAAATTGCTAACAGAATCTAACCCCAAATTGCATTTGGAAATTAAGAGGAGATATTAGGAGGAGACAACTATTATATAAGGGACCAGGGTGATTTTGCATAGAAGAGCACTGAAGATTTTGGAAGCAAATATAATCAGTAGCGAGCCAGAAAGACATAAGGACTGTAAAATTATTTTAGAAATTGGCCCTTGGCCCTTTAATTTGCTTGTGCTCTTTGTGGTTTGAAATATCCTCCTAGATCCCTGTAAACAAGCATTTTCGTATTGATTTTTATCCACTTGGTAACCAGTGCGTTTCCTCTGGGTTTTTAATGCCACACAAGCCAATAGGTTTATCCTTTGTTGTGTACGCAACATACACAGTCTTGGGAGTTGCAAGGAGCAGCTGCTTCAGGCAAACTCCCACTTGAATATTTGGCCATTGAAAAGGAGCCAGGAAAGAGAAAAGGCAGCCAGCTAGAATCCCAGCTCATCCTGAAATCCCAACTCTTCCTCAGCCTGAAGCTGCCACCCCTGTAGTACAGTGGCCTTTCTTTAAGCTTTAGAGAAGGAAATGCTCACATCTGCATTTGGAGGCAGCCAAGGCTTCAAACAGGTCAACGGGTCTGTCAGCTTCTGCCCTGGAGCTGAATCCAGTAGTTAGAACACAGACAGGGTCTGGGTTTCTTTGTGTTGTCTCCATAAAAAAGGCAATAACAGAAAATCTTATGGCTTTGGCTGTGAAATGCGTTGTCACAGGCTAATCCCACCCCCACCCCCCTCCCAGCCCCACAACAGACCTTCAGGATTGTTGCTTTGCTGCCATGGCAAGGTAGCACAAGCAGCAGCATAGGAGTAACCATAACCATAATAGGGTTGTTGTTTGATTGGCTGGATTTTCATGAAATCTCCAGTGGATTTTCATTCTGTTCCTTGCGATTTCATTTGTTCTCGCTCTGGCTAAAATATCCTCCTCTTCCTCAAGAAATGGAATTTCTAGAATTTCTAAGTCTTGTTTTTTTAAAGTAATTTCCATTTGGCAAAACCCTTAAGACTTCTCTTCCTACCTAAACTTTGTTTTTGTTTGGTAGAGATTTCTCTAACTTTCTTTCTTTAAGGTTAGAGTGTCTTCTTTATAGCCTTGGGAGAAAGATAACTTCGACTCCTTCAGGATTCCCCCATAATCATTAGTAGTTTCTAGGCAAAAATATTATTGCTTTCCTTTCCCACTGTGCTCTTTTAGAGGGTAGGAATTTGGATCTAGAAGTCCCACAGATCTGAAGAAGATTTGTGAGATCTTCTGGTAAATGCTTGCCTGGGAAGATAGCACTTTCCCATCCACCATCTTCATCTCTCCCTCCTCCCTCTTTCTTAACATAAACAGAACAGCTTGTATTCAGTGTCTGAATAGTAAACCTGCTGTCGAAAGTTTGCTTTAATATTTATGTGTTCAGCACTGCTACATGTTTTGAGCTCCATCAAAGCTTTTATTATAAGAGCATTTGAAAAGGCTGTGGAAGTAGAGAAGCTGCTGATGTGTGTGCCGTCTCTTACACTCTCTCTCCATCTGACTCATCCTCCCTTACCATCGCCTCCTCTCTCCCCTCTTCCCCCTCCCCAAGTGCATCTCCCCCATTCCCTGCCCCCCCCAACACACACAGAAAGCAAAGAGAACTCTCTCCTCAAGACCTCTGGGAGAAATCTGTTTAATATTTATAAACTGCTACTGTAGCTGTAATAACCAGAGGTAGCTAGCACTACCAAGATTTGCTGCAAATAGGACTGTACTGTGAAAACAAAGGGTGATGATGGATAAAATGGAAAACTGGTACCCTTCTCCTGTTTTCATGGGGAAGGAAATAGGTATGGGATAAACTGATCAGAGAGACTAAATCTGGTATATGTAGGCTTGAGAAATCACCAGCCATCTGTGCAGTGACCAAAGGATGGAGATACTTTCATTCAACCAGCATTTACTGAGTCCCTGCTATAGGAGGCACCTAGGTGGTGCCCAGGTTAGAGCTAGAGTCAGAAAGGCCTGAATTCAAATTTGACCTCAATCACTTACTAGCTGTGGGACCCTGGACAAGTCTCTGTTTGCCTGTTTCCTCATCTGTAAAATGGGGGTAATAATAGCACCTACCTCCTAGGGTTGTTTTGAGGCTCAAATGAGATAATAGTTGTAAAGCACTTAACACAGTGCCTGGCACATAGTAAGTGCTGTATAAATGTTAGCTAAAATTATTATATACAATACCCTGTGTTTATATACCTTTGTTTAAAGTGAGTAAGCCCCATCTAAGTTCTGATGAGTTCAGAACCTGATAGGGGAAATAAAGTGTATTCAGATAACTATGTCTGGGAGCATGTGTTCATTGCCTAAGAGGTACAAACAATGCTCTGGTAGTTCAGAGGTGAGAGGGTCACTTGTAACTATAAAGGATGACATTTGAAAAAGCAGTACCTTTATGTGGACAACTCCCAAATCTCCAACCTTGACCTCTCCTGAACTTCAGACTTTCATTTTCAGCTGCTTAACAGACAATTCCACTTAGATGTCTTATCAGCGCCTCAAATTCAGCATATCTGTGACTAAACTTCTCTAAACTTGTCCCCCATTGTGACTTCATGCTTCTTGTGGCACTACCAATCTCCTGGTCACTTGTCACAAAACTTTAGAGCTGTCTTTGACTCTTCCTTTCCCCCCTCACCACTCAAATCCAGGTCACATCCACTAAGTATAGGTGTCCCCCAGGGTTCTGTCCTGGGCCGTCTTCTCTTCTCCCTTTATATTCTTTCATCTGGTGACTTCATCAGCTTTCATAAATTCTGTTTATATTTAAGATCATTTTGAAATCTGTTTATCCAAACCTAACCTCTCTTTGACTGCCAGTCTCATGCCTCTGACTACCTGTTGGACATCTTGAACTGGATGTCCCATAGACGTCTTAAACTCAACATGTTCAAAACTGAAACCATTGCCTTCCTCCCAACCTACCCCCACTTCTTAACTTTGCTGTTAAGACCTTAACTTAAGGCCTGTTGAGGCCTTTATCATCCTCCCACTCACCCAGGCTCATAACCTAGGTATTATTCTTGACTTTTCCTTTTCCTCATTCTCCATGTCTAATGTCTTGCTAAGGCCTGCTGATTTTACCATCATAATATCTCTCATATACGCTCCCTTCCCTCTTCTGACATTGCCTGGTGTGGGTCCTTATCACTTCATGCCTGGGTGGTCTCCCTGCCATGAGCTTCTCCTCACTCCAGTCTATCCTGCCCTCAACTGCCAAAGTGATTTTCCTAATGCTAATCATGTTACCTCCTAGTCAGTTAACTCCAGTGGCTCCGTATTGCCTCTTGGATCAGATAGAAAAATCTTCTGCTTGACATTCAAAGTCCTTCATAACCTGTCCCCCTACTAACAACACCTTTCCAGTCTTCTTACAACTAAGACCACACCCACCACCACCCTATCACCACATATTCTTTATTCTATCTACATTGACTTCTGTGCTGTTCCTTGAGGAAGACACTCATCTCCCATCTCAGAGTATTTTTACTGGTTGTCTTCCATCCTCCCCCCCATTCCCCCGTGCCTGGAATGCTCTCCCTCATCTCAGCCTACTGGCTTCCTTCAAGTCCCAGCTAAAATATCATCTTCTACAGGAAGTATTTGTCAGTTCCCTTTTACACTGTTGATTTATTTCCAATTTATTCTGTCTATAGTTTCCTTGTACACCATTCTTTGCAGGTTGTTTTCTCCATTAGACTGTTCGCTCCTTGAGAGCAGGGGCTGTCTTTTGCCTTTCTTTTCATTTCATAGTGGTTGGTACCTAGTAGATGCTTAATAAATGTGTATTGAGTCACTGCTTTAGGGAAGCTTGCTCTGTTAAGCTGTTCAGAATGGATTGGATGGAAGGACACTGGAGTCAAGATAATGGTAGGAGGCTGTTCTGGTATATCCTAGGAGAGAAGTAATGAGGCCTTGAGTCAGGGTGGTGACGTAGGAGTGCAGAGGACAGGACAGGGCTTGTTGGAGGGCGATTGCCATGATAGAATTGCCGTGGTAGGAGTTGGCAACTCAAAACTACCTTGGTACTTGAAGTGACTTTGCTCAGAGGTATTCTTGTTACATGCTTGCCTCTTTATAAGGTCATTGTGTCCAGGTGCCCTAAAAGAGTTTTGCTTCTTTTAAACACTCAGTGCACTTTATAAATAACAGACTTAGCTAAGAGAGCCTAAGAGGCCCCTCTTGAAAGATGACTATCATACTGAAAGGGCTTTCATTTATGAGAGGGAGTGCTTTACGGGGCTCACCAGCGTTACCATATATAACCATTAAGGGAAGGGCAGTTTTCTCCTCACCTTAAAATTAAAAAATCTATTAAAGGTGACTTTTCTTTTCAGGAATATTTTACAATAGTGTTCTTAGACAAAGTAGAATCATCTAGCTTTGGGGGTCTCTTCAGGGGAAAGATGGTTTTTTCTGGGCCCGTATATAAAAACAGCCTATTTGTCAAAATGCACAGAACGTACAGTCATTGCCTTTACAGAAAGCACCTTCAATTTTGAGCAGGTCTGGGTCTGTCTGTTTTTCTGCTTCCTCTCTTATTGGATGCTCAGTGTTTGTCTGAAGATCTTAGTGGAGATAATTCAGCAAGTAGATTGCCTCAGACTTTGGTTTTCCTTCTGTTTTGCATTTACCCTGGAAGTGATTCAGGGTCTTCCAGGGAGGCCAACTTTACTATTGGAGAATCATCACCCCAGAGGGGCAGTTTCTTCCTACTCCCTTCCCTCAGAGGTCACAAAGCATTAGAGGAACAAAGTGTTAGTTCATTTCATTAAGACTCTTACCATAAGAAAGTACCCCAAGGGTATTAAACACCACACTGTTTCGTAATGGTTCTTTCTCTATCTCTCCTGGGGATGTGACAGCATTCCTGGCAGGTGAAGATGACACATCACTCACCGATCTTCTCTTCCAGTTATTTCTTCCTTGCTTCCTGTTGCCTATTTCCTGAAGGTTCTTTAATATCAAGCATCACGTTTGTTTGCTGTTGAGGTGGCGGAAATCTGTAATAAGGGATGATGGTTTCAGGTGGAAAATGCACAGCTGGACCATGTCTGCAGCCCAGATCGTGTTTTCCTGCAGATGTCTGTAGTAATAAAGAGTAAGAGGAGGAATTACAGAAAGTGGCAGTAGCAGAATTGTTTCCAAATTGTAATAAGGTTATTTTTTCTCTTTTCTCCTTCCCAAGTGTTTTTCTACTCAGGATCAGTAGATGCTTTCATAGTGCAAAAACTTTTCGCCACCTGAGAGAATACCTGAGAGAGACAAATCCATTGCTCACTTTTTAGAGACATCCCAGCTAGGGGTGAAATGAAACCCATTCAGCACACTACCCATGGTGAATTCTGATGCACACACAGGCAACTGGATTTAGCTCCCCCCCAGTCCATCACATACTGATTACTCTTCTTCTACCTTTGTTTCCTCAGAATACGCAGAAAACATTGGTGATGGGAAGAACCAGGAATTCCAGGAGAATGAACAGAAGCGTATTCTGGAACTGCTGGAGAATTTTTAGTCCTATTCTGCCTTTCCTTTCACCCCTCAGACTGTGAGCTCCATGTCTGCTTCTGATCCCTTCAACCTGAAATGCCTTTTCTAGGACACAAATTTTAATTTGGCTTTTGGACACATTAAAGTTAGTTTTGGTATTCCTGGCCTTGTGTTTTTTGTATATGTGCATGAATACTTTTCATAAAAAGAATGGTGAGTTTATGGTGCCTCACAGTACCGTCAGTTTTCTCATATGTAATATGAGAAGTTTGGACTAGATCTCTAATGCCCCGTACAGTTCTAACCATCTGATTCTTGCAACCTTCAGCATACAGAATGTGACTGTGAAGTCCTGAGACTAATTTAATAAGCAAACAAGGAATAAGGCATTCAACTAAGTGTTGTCAAACAAAATAATCACCCTGAGTGACTTCATGCTTATTCCAGTAAGGTTGTCATTGCTCAGAAACATTTTTGGAAATTAGCTTCAGAGCCCATTTATGACCCTTGTGAGAAAATTAGCCTCCAAGATTTATAGTCATAACTTCGTTCTTCACCAAAAATAAGCTCCAATTTGACTACTTTCCTTACTCACTAGCTAAGACTTGAGTATCTTCTATTTCCAAAAATTAAATCCATCACCTTTAAAAGAAGATTTTTTTAAAAAACTCACTGTTGAGTTTAAAAATAAGGTACTATAGGGTTTGAAGGCAATTCCAAGATGAAGATGCAAAAAATATTTTGAGTAAGAGTGCTATCCTAAGGATAAATGAATAACTAGGAGGAAAGAAAGGGGTTAAATATCTATTCTGGGGGTATGGATTAAATTAGGTCCAAGAGTGGTAAAATGTACTTTATATTTGGGGATGGTTGAAGAGAGAAGAGGTACCTGAGGGGTAGGGAATGTGAAGAACTAGAGGCTTGTCTCAAGTACAGTGCTCTTCTAGAAAGTCCTATCATCACTGTATAATAGCTTAATATGAAACCATGGAAGCTGAAACTACAGAAGGGTTTTTGGTTTTTGTAGGTGAATGTCATTCTGGTTTCAATTCATCCTGGGCCTTTTTTCTATTTAAAAAAGTTGGCTTTTTTTTTATAAAGTATATATTGTTTAGACCCTTACTGTTGAATTATAACAATAGGAAAAACAAGTTAGAAGCAGAGAAATAGAAGCTCCTAAGTACAAATTAAGTACTCTTGTCACCAAATTTCAGTCAGCATGTTTCTACCATTTGATGGTCTTTCTTAGGATTTGTTCAAAGCTGCTGATTGTGTTCGTAGCTGCTCATGTAGGAGAAATGTTAATTATCTCATTAACACTTCCTTCCCCTCCTCCCTTCAATCCTGTGAGCACTTCCTCTTATAATTACCCCTTTTGTCAGGGAAAGAGTGCTTATTGATTTTTTCCAACAAAGGTCATTCGTGCATTATTTTCTGAGTTGTCCATTAGATCACTAGTCTCAAAATGGAAACAGTTAATGCCTTGCACATAGTAAACCCTTGATAAACATTTGTTGAATTGAGTTAATGTCTCAGTGTCCACCGCTATAAACTCACTCACCCAGCACTCTCTTTCATAGTGAATGATGCCTTCATTTTGCAGACTAGCTTCTCTAATCCCTTTTTTGTTGTTGTTGTTCAGAGAATTCTGGGAGCCCCAAACATACATGGCTTTCAAACAGTGTTGTGCACTCGTTTCACAGAGGTAATGAAGAATGGTTAGCTCTTCCCTCTGGATTCAGTAACAGTAAGCTCACAAGAGCAGCAAGATCGTCCTTGTCTCATTTATAGAGATTTGCATGCGGGTCAGGTTTGTGCTTTTTATCTCAGAGAAAAATGCATCATCAGGGGAGCTTAAAGGCTTCATTCAAACAGGACATAAGTAGGCACCAGTGTCCTGGGTACCATTTTCTGCTCTTAGGAGACCAACTTCATTTCAGCTTGCTAACTTTCCTTTAAGGCAGAAATCCCTAACATGATTTGCTCACTCTGCTTACCTCTTGGGCCGGGTAGTAGAGTTGGTGGCAGATTCCTGCATTAAAAAGATAGTTTGGTACAGTAGGAAGAAAGCCGCCTTGGATCCAAATCCCTACTGCTATATCTGTCAGATGTGTGACTTTAGGTAGGTCATTTAACTTGAGAGTCTCTCTCCTCATCTGTAAAATGAAGATGATGACAGTACTTGTACTGATGACCTCAATTCAATATGATGAACTTTTACCTCCCTAATAGGTGTGAATTCATCATAGGATTCTCTTTTTTTGGGGGGGGAGGGGCGGGGGATGAGGCAATCAGGGTTAAGAGACTTGCCCAGGATCACACAGCTAGTAAGTGTCAAGTGTCTGAGGCCGGATTTGAACTCAGGTCCTCCTGACTCCAAGGCCAGAGCTCTATCCACTGTGCCATCTAGCTTCCCCCATCATAGGATTCTTAGGAGAAGAGCATTGAACACAGGCCTTAGTATATAGAAGACAAGGAGTATTTTTTTAAATTGAAACTGAAAACATTTGGTAAGGGATAAACTTTCTTAAATTTTCTCCAAGGAGAGGAAATGTGAGTTGCTATTTATTATAATTTCTAGCCTCCTGTCCTTCAGCCCAGGACCTCAGCTCTAGGCAACTCTTTGCATCAGCATAGAATAAAACAAAATTTCTATTGTAAGGCCTTCAGCTCTCAGTCTGCCTCCCAGGAAGGATGCACTGGTTCTGATAGTATACTGCCAGGAGAGGGACCACGCCCATTGTTGCACAGAGCCAGAAGCCTGGACCTCCTGGGCTGGAGAGTTGCTACCGTGCCCTGAGAAGCTCTTCACGTATCGGAACACACCAATTGAAAAACAGCTTCAGGGTCGGCCGTGCATATAAAATGGTTTCCAAAGGTCCCATCTATAGGAGAAAAACATCCCCACAGAGAGTTATGTGTCTCTAGGAGGCTTCAAACGTTCGTTAAATGTTTATTATGGATAAGGTACTGCTTGCTTGAAAGACATCCTCTATTGGGCTTTTTGTAGTTAAATTTGCTAGAGTGCCGTTTAACCCACAGTCTGTCATAAGCCATGTTATAGTGATCCTAATGCATTTATGTTTGATTGATGAGCAACAGGCAGAAATGAAGGGAGAAGAATTGAGTAAAAGGATGACCTCTGCAATCATAGATTGCTTTTAGCCTTCATCCCTTAATTACAGAGTAACCATTTATTAAGCACTTTCTGTATGCATAGCACTCACTGTGCTCACACCTTGAGGGAAATACGGAGTTTAACTAGGACAAGGACATACAGAGATACTGTAATCTCAGTATGCCACCAACATCTTGGAGCAACTGTTGAACTTACATTCTATGCAGCTGCATTTGGCAGTGTCAGATTGATTATCTCCTCCCATAGATCCATCAGGGCTTGAGTGGGTTTGGCTGGTTCCTTCTTAGAACTCATCAGAATCAAACTTTCAGGAAGGATATCTTAAGGAAGACAAAGCTCAATTGTGAAAACCATGGAATATTCGGCTAGGACTGGAAGGAACGTTAGACCTCAGTTAGTCTGAACCCCTCGCCTGTAACCAGGCAAAAACTGGGCCCAGAAGAGGGGGAGGATGGGAGGGGACATTGCCAGTTCCCTCAAGGAATGTGGGAAGACATGATCAGGCCTGGACATGTGCTGAACCTCTCAGCCTTAGTTTCCTCATCTGTAAAAACAGGGATAATCATAGCGCCTGCCTCCCAGGGTTGATGTAAGGGAAAAACTGAGCTAACATATGTAAGGTGCTTTACAATTATGATAATAATCATAATGATTTCTATTGGTAGAAGAGGAGGAGATAGGATTGGACCCCTTACAAACATGGCTGCAGTGAGTCTTCCTGTCCTGTTTCATTGTTTTTCAACTAGTATGTCACAAAGATACCTCGGTGCATGGTGCCATTCAGAATTTCTTTTCTCCCCTTTGGTAAATTGAACCCTTTGAAAGGTTAAGTTTAGGAGAAATATATTTATATGTTAAACTTACTTTAAATGGCAGAAAGTAAACACATGGAATGACCTACCCCAGGATGGGGTTCAGGGTAAAACTGATGTAACTTCAAAAAAATCTTAAAATCCTCACCGGTGCTGGAGGGCAGAGCAAAGAACTTCTCCCAAAGCTTCCATTTTTAAAGGCCTCCCAGGCTGGCCAGCTTTTAATTTCCTCCCAGTTTGCACCCTTAGACCAAACTCCATCGTGCCCCTGGGTACTTTCTTCCCTCTCCCCCCTCCACCCAGCCCCTTCCTCACCCTGCTTTTTCTTTTGTGTGTTGTCTTCCCCTGCTAGATTATAAGCTCCTTGAGTACAGGGACTATTTTTTTCATATTTCATATTTGTCCTGAATGTTTAACATGGTGTATGGTATATAGTTGGCACTTAATAAGTGTTTATTGTAGAGCAGGTAGGTGGCACAGTAGATAGAGCACCAGCCCTGAAGTCAGGAGGACCTGAGTTCAAATGCGACCTCAAACCAAACACTTAACACGTCCTAGCTGTGTGACCCTGGGCAAGTCACTTAACCCCAATTGCCTAAAAAAAAAAAATGATGACGTTGAGGCCCAGGGAAGGTGAGTGACTTATCCAAGGTCACAGGCAGCAAGCCTATCAGAAACAGGCTTCTTCCACTACCACACAGAAAGGAGTGTGGATGGCAAGTGTTTGTGCAGTTAGATGGGAAGTGTGAAAATAGACAGGTTGTTTGAAGGAAGAGGGTAGGTTTCTCCCTGTTCTGTTGAGTGCCACCCTTGTGGGAAGTTGTAAAACGCCCCTCTGGTATGTCCCTTTCAGGAAGTTCCCAAGTGTGTCAGACCAGAAGAAAAAAATTGGCACTGAGCAGAGGCCACCAGTAGTAGCCTCTGCTCAGTACCAGCAAGAAGTATGTTGTCTGGTCACCACACTCAGCCTTGACCGCCACCTTCTGCCCCTTGCTGCCACCCTAAATGGGGGGTTAATTCCCCAGGCTTCACTGACAGGCCTGGCCTGAGAAGCCTGTAGTATATAAATATCTCTAATGAAGAAACAGAAGGGCTTTTAGGTCATGGAAGTCCCTTCATTTCCGCCTGCAGTAAAATTTCATTAACAAAAGGCACTGCAGGGCCATCAGAATGAGAGCTATAAATCATGCTCTTTGTGTGGGACTTAGCCCAGGACCAGGGGTTCTATCCTCTCTGGGGCCTGCAAGAGAGGAACCCCTCTTGCTAGGGCCAGAATTCGGGCTGGGGTGGCCAGTGCCTGGGAAGAAAAGGGGCTCCCTCTGGCCAGCTGCCCACCTGGGCCCTCTGTTATTAATTAAGCTAATTATGCAGCTTTTATGGGCTGTTGCTAAGGGCCAGCTTGATTTTTTTTCCTACTGATATCTCTGCAGCCGGCAGCCTGGGAGTCCCAAGGAGAAGTGCAACAGGTTCTGCCAGCTGCAAGTAAACATCATTATTGTAATTGGAGAAGGATTAAAAGGACCTTGATAATTAGCTCCCTCACAAAGCCTTTTAGCTGGTGAGCTGTGGCCTCTGACTGGTCAGCCTTCCGCTCTAACTTGGTGCCTCAACTGGAAGCGACTGCCCACCGTGGCAAGTAGCTGGAGAACGGGCCCCCATGTAGAGTGCTCCTGTAAGGGCAGTTATGTTATGACTAGAGTAAGGGCCAAGAGCCAGTCTGTCCTTTTCCTCTAGTAGCCCAGGGAATAGCAAAAATCATGACACTCTTTAAAAAATTCTGAACTTAACAAACCAACCCCTAACAAAATAATTATCTCCGTATACATAATAGAGCATGAAAAGGATTGCAGACTTGTTCTGTACAGTTTGCTTTTCTTTTTAAGCACATAACAAATACAAGTAACTTTAAACACTCCTGCTTGTCTTTTTCCTATTGACCTTCCTTCTGTTCTTTTCTTTGTTATACTTTTAAAAAAATGATGACCTTCTTCTTTACTTTTTTTTTCTTTCAGTGGGGTATGGGGAGTTACAATGCTATTGCTTAATCCCCTTCTACCTTTCCCCTATCAGATGAGATATCTGGAGGGGTTTTAAGGGCTTAGCACAGAGACTAGCACATGGTAGACACTACTAGAATAAAAAAAGGGAAAAAAACCACTTTGTGAAAAATATGCATAGTCAATCAAAACAAATTCTCACATTGGCCACATCCAAAAATGTGTATCTCATTCTGCACCTTAGGTCTTCTCTATCAGGAGGTGGGTAAAGTGCTTCATCCTGGGTACTTGGAAAGAGTGATTCATTATTGCATTGATTGGAGTCCTTAAATCTTAGAAGTTTTTACTTGTAGTGTTTTTAATCATGTAAGTTCTCCTTGTTCTCATTTATTCTACATCATTTCATACAGATCTTCTCAGGTTTCTCTGAAATCATCCCAGTCTTTTTTTTTTTACAGGACAAGAAAATTGAATTACATTTTTCCCTTTCTCTGTCTTTGGTATCTTTGAGGGATGTGCCTAGTAGTGATATGGTTGAGTCAGTGGTTACATATACATGATTTAATGACTTTCAGGAGCATGGATCCAGATTCCTTTCCAGAATTACTAGACTTACTCATAGGTCCACCAACAGTACGTTAGTGTGCCTGTTTTCCTTCAGCTCCTCTGACAATCTTTTTCATTCCTTTTGTCATTTTTGCCAAACTGATAAATAGGATGTGGAACCCCAGAGTTGTTGATTTGTATTTCTCTAAGTATTAGTGATTTGGAACATTTTTTTCCCATATGGTTGCTGATAACTTGAACTGCTTCCTTCAAGGCCTTCTTATTCATGTCCTTAGACCATATATACCTCAAAGAAAGAGCAGGATCTATATGTACCAAAGTATTTATAGAAGCACCTTTTGTTATAACAAAGAATTCCATCCATTGGGGAATGGCTGGACAAATTATATCATATGAATGTAATGAAGTGTTATGGCATCACAAGAAATGACAGAAGGGATAGCTTCAGAGAAACCTGGGAAGACCTGTATGAACTGATGCAGAATGAAGTGAATAAAATTAGAACAATTTATATGAAAAAACTGTAAAGAAAAACAGCTAAGAAAAACTTAAGATGTCTGATCAATGCAATAATAAATCAATGTTTTGTTTTTCTTTCATTGAGTTGAGGAAGGTTGGGAAAGGAAGAAGAGAGCTAGTATGATAGTTACCAATATAAAGAAATGAGAGTCATTGAAGCATTGTAAAAAATACACAGAAGTGAATAAAAGGAAGATCAGTAGTAAACAGACACACAGGACAACTTTGAAAATAACATGTTGAATTTATATACTTCAGAAAAGTAAGCTTTATTTAATACAGCTTCACAGCTTTATACACAATTTTCTGGTCTACTTTGTATATTGAAATATATTTCTTGGTGTTTGTTAAGTTCAGAATTTTTAAAAAAACCTCATATGGGCTATAACCAAGACTTGACTTGGAAAAATGGATTGTCCATCAAAGGCACACTTAATATCCAATGTGATAAAAGTATGGTTTCATGAAGAAGAATTAAATGGGTCAAAATTTTGTGAATTTAACACCAGATCATGTAAAACAAGTGTTTACAGCAAAGGGACATACTGGTTTTTAAATAGATAAATAAAAATATAAATACAAAAGATCATAAGGTTTATTTCATGTCAATAAATTTATTTTCTTTTGTTCCCTTCCTTTCCAAAATGAACTTGCTTTAAAAAAAAAAAAAGAAAGAGGAAACTTAGGGTAAGTTATAATTAGGTAGTGAGTAATATATCCAAGGTCTGGAAATCTGAATCTTCCATTATGAAACATTGGAACATTCATTCATTCATTCAATAAACATTTATTAAGTGTCTACTCTGTCCTAAGCACTGTGCTAAGAGGAAGGAGTAATAGATATGGCCAAAGTACTGATGAATATCTGGGAACTCAATATCTGAAAAATTTGTTAGGGTCATTTACTACATATGCTTTCCAAGTTGACTTACTTAGCTATGTAATCATGCTGTGGAAGACCTAGGGCTTGGGGCTGGTCCTGCCGCTGTTGCAGATTTTTGCCGAGGCTTCAGCTCTGGACAGCTCCCAGCAGCTGTTTCTATGGGGCTCAGCAACAGACACTGTGTTTTCCTTTAATCCTAGGCAAGGGGTTGCCAACCTTTGAAGTATGGCATGCCAAGATCCTGAATCTTGTGCTTTAGGGGAGTTGTAGGGAAAGTATTGGTGGCAGGCATGATGTGCCAATGGCAACCAGCCTAAATTTAATCTTTCACCAAAGTTCATAAAATTATAGATTTAGAGCTAGAAAGGAACTTGGAGGTCATCAAAAGCCACACTCTGGCCATCCTGCCCCCCTCATTATACAGATGAAGAAGCAGTTC